GATTTAATATTATTGTTCTTTTTCTACCATTGCAATAATCAACTTATTATTGATATTTTAACAACATAATCATCGAAAATCACTGAGAAATMAACTCCAATTTCATCATTTTAAAATTAGGGTTTACACTTTTTATATWTTTTTTATTACAAAAACTCAAAATTAGTTATTTAGATTTTAACAAAAAAAGAAAGATTCATACATACTCTCATCTTTATAACTTAAAAGTGAACAAATTTCTATATAAACTTCAACCAGGTTTTCATACCGAAATAGGTAAAAATACTAAAGCAATAAATTAAATTGTATTTAATATAATTAATTTTATAATTTAAATAAATCAAATCATAAAATAATATTTTATTTTATTTATTTTGATATCATATTATATATATAGTATATTTCAAATGCAACCATGTTCATTTATATATATATATATATATATATGTGTGTGTGTGTGTGTGTGTATAAAGATATTGTTTTTACTTTTTTATAGAAAAAGACAAAAGAATAAGCTAAATGTTAAAAAGTCGTTGATTCAACAGAGTTAACAGAGGCGTTAATCAGAGGGACTATGACCAAAACAAATTGAATACCATAATGACCAAATCCACAATAAATATATCAGAAGGACCCTAGTAAAAAAAATCAAATCACAGGAATCAAATCCACAGTTCACTCTATTTATTTTTCAATAATTATACGGATGCAAATTTAAGGGAATTTATAGAAATGGTCAAAGGGGTTCAACTTTTTAACCATTTTTAKACCTAATTTCACTTTATAGCTAATCCTTATGTACAAAGTGGAATCATTGGGCAGAAAGTTTTTCGCAAAAAAAAAGTGGAATCTCTACACGAAAAATGGAATCCTTATGTGGAAAATAGTTGAAAATCAATCCTTACGCAAACTTGATGGTGGAAGAGAGAAATGATTATTCTATTCAATTTCATCAATGAGATTGAGTTATTATTTTTATTAAAAAGTTTAATTTTAACTGTAGTGAAATGATAAATTAAAGAATACTAGAAGCGTACTCGCGCAATGCAACGAGATACATCGTGATTTTAATATTTCATTTTATTCTTTATCTCAGTCGATGTTATAATATA